ACTACCAACCATAAGTAACCATTATCAACCACTAAGATCTACCATGATTAAGCAATCAGATGTACCCTCTGGTAATTTAACATAGCTATAGAAAGATCCACCATGTTTAATGGGAAAATCCACTATAAATCACCATTTTCAATAGCTTTTTGTATGTTTACCAGAGGGTAATCATCGCAAACTACCGTTTTTCACCCATTCACAACACCATTAACACATCGCTAGCCTCAAGGCCGCGGCCAGGTTCTCGGTGGCTCCTTGCCCAAGCCTGGGGCCATTTCAATAGGACCCTGTGGTTGTCCTATTCTCAGTTGATGGGTATCTAAAAATGGTAGCCCTAATTACATTTGTGGAAATAAGTATTTTCAGACAAAATTATATAAGAATGTGAAAAAAAACACAACTGGGCTGGTGTTTCTCCACAAGAATGACATACAATTATCATAGATTATCTATAATCTTAAAGTCTTACTGTGTCTTTTAGCGAAAAACGGAAGGCCACCAAGGTTCTATAGGGGTGGGCGATTGAAGTTGACCATGAATCCTTCCACTAGTATATGATGAGTTATGCATCTGGCAGCAGACGCAGCTGGATCACCATTCATTGCAAGCTCATCATCTCATCTCGCGAAAATTGGGGGCAAAAATCATGGCCATCAAAAATTGGAGTTGAACAACCTTGCAAACCATGGTTACATTAACCTATATATCATTCTATTATATATATATATATATGTATCCATCATGATCCATCCAAATGACCGAAAACATACCAACATATACCAACGACCAACAACATGTGTCCCAACGTCTTGGAAAAATCATCTCCAACACGCCACATCTTCGACAGATTTCACGCCTCGCCAAGGCAATCGCCTCAACGAGAAAGCAGCGCGAAATCAACGGTGACGACTGATACCCTGACATAGCTATGAAAAATGACCATTGAAATAGTGGATTTATAGTGATTTATAGTGGATTATAGATGATTATAGTGATTTATAGTGAAAAAAATCAGCTATGAAATTGTGATTTACATGGATTTACCCATTAAAAATAGTGATTTTCCATAGTTATGTGACAGTGAAACCCAGAGGGAATTCCCTTAAAAATGGTAAATGGTGGTTTTCGGCAAACTGTGATTGTTTGCCAGAGGGTGGGACTTCCAGCTTTTGTTCATATCTGACATGAAATTGTCGACCAAAGAAATTGAGAATTGGCGGGCAATCAACATTGGAATCCGTGTGATCCGTGTGATCTGTATGCCTCTTCGAGAAGAGGCCCACCATGAAGGGACCATCTATTCATATGGCAACCCGATTCATATCCCATGACGGATCCATGGTGCTGGTATATATCCATGGAGCACCATATATACCATACATGGATCCGTCATGGGTATGGGTGGTGACACGACCCCTCACCATTTCAGGACTCGCATCTTGGGACCAGATCTGAGCTCCGTCACCACATTCTGTGCAATGCCTCTGGGCCTTGGGCCAGGTCAACTTGCAGCAATTTTTTCGGACCGCTCGGACAGTCCCGGAATGGAAAAACCATGGAATTTTAAAAAACAACGATTTTCACACCATGGGATGTCCCTTTCTGTAAGGTTCCATGCAGTTCCTTGGACTTCCTTCTATTTCCTTTTGTCGTTCCTCATCATCCATAGACATGACCTTTTCCCGATGGCCCGATCAAGTTCCGCACAGAATCTCTTTTCTCCTGGCGCGGATCTTTGTCTTGATCGCCTGGCTCGTGGCTACCAGAGACGTTTCAAACGTCCATACCAAGACGCTCAAAAGCACTCATGAAACATAGGTAAAGTACTCAAACATGGCGTAAAATACCAATTTTGTGGGTCAATTGGAGTGTCCAGGTCTACACTTTGCGAATTGATTTTCTCATGGGACAATCTTGGTTCGTACTCAGTACTGCAGCAAGGACAAAGGTGGCACTGGATATCACAGACCCACAAACTTCACTGATAAAATGAGTTGCCTGAATCAAAATATCAACCACGATTCATGACTTGCCTATCTTCCATTTTCGTACCTTACCCAGGCCCTCATTAACGCCATCAAAATGGGGAAAGTACTGGAATTGTCAGAAAAAAAATCGGGGTCTTAGAACGTCCAAGTACTGAAAATCATTTCAAGAACCCAAAACGCATGCTCGAAATTTGCGATCATGTGGCAGTGTGTCAAAACCATGTACCCCTGGTGAACATCAAAATAGCTGGTAAATGGATGTTCATCCCACTAAAAATGGTATTAATAGGTATTGATCCATAGCCATGTCAATTTATGTCAATATTTTAATGGGTTGAAATCGCTCCTTTCGTTCCCAATTCCGACTGGTCGAAGACGTTTTTTCGCCTGGGTAGGCGCCGCAGCAAAGGTTTCGTGCAACTCAGCCAGGTCGACTAGCTCCTGCAACGAGGGATGGGGTCTCTTTATCCCATGGATTTTTTATGGGCAAAATGATTTTAGATGGATAATGATGGATAATCTTCTGGTATCTTTAGATGGATAATCTCATTTTAGATGGATAATCATGGATAATCCATTTTAGACGGATAATCTCATTTTCCATGGTATCTTTTTTATGGGCAATCATGATAAACATATTTTATCCCATAATTTATCCCATTTTTATGTTTATCCGTTTATCCCATGATAAATCATGTTTATCCCATGATTTCGAGGGAAATAGCATATTAATTTTGAGGGATGTGATTGAGCATGATTTATCCCATGGAATCTTTAAGTAGGATTTCTTCCCATCCACAATCTAATCATCCTGTCCATTTACCATTGGGTAATATCGTGTAAGCCCAATTTGGGGCTGTTTACAATTAGTATCATCGTTTGTTTGTTCATGTGGTAAACCCCAGAATATGGAAAATGATGGTTAAATGGAAAACTATGGGAATATGGTAGTTAATGAGATAATTATTCCCATCCTTAAATGTAATGATTGTCCTTCATTTAACCATCATTTTCCCACAATGCAACCATGGTAAATGGTAAATTTTAAACCTATGTAAACCTCATAAAATGGGGAAATGATGGTGACATGATAAGATAATTATGATTGATCATAGTTAAATGGGAGTGTTATAGCCAATTTACAAAAGTAAACAACAATAATAGGGCATAGTAAGAGTATTTTTCTCATGTCCGGGTAAACCCCAGAAATATATTTGTAATATGGGTTCCCTATAAGGGCACTTGCGGGATCAAACATAATGATATGGGAAAATACAACATGGTTCATTCGTTTCCCATAGTTACCCATCATGGATTAGTAATTCAGAAAAAATGATGCATCAATTTATGGCTAGTTATGGAATGGCAAATCATGGGAGTATCATAACAAACTGTTACGTTTCATAGGTAAATCATGTACAAACAGGCCATGTTCCTTGTTCAAAAAAGGGGAGCATCATAGTATAACCAATGTTTATATGGTAAATGAGACTTGGGGATCATCCCAGAATGCTTCGGTGCAGTCGTCATCAGCACCAGAATCCCACTTAGCCTATTTTTTGAAACACCAAACAGTTTTAGTTGGCGTATATCTCCCGAGACACTCCACGTAATTACACATAAGCAAAGATGCATCTTACAGTCTTACAGCATACTTTCACTATCTTTCACTACTCCCAATCACCTGGGGTGAACGTTTGTCCAGGCATCTCCTCTCCATAAAGGATGGCTTGAATAAGTCACATCACCCTTTCTGGTTGGTGGTTTTAGCCATCTTGAAAAATATGAGTTCGTCAGTTGGAATGATTATTCCCAACCCATAGGATCCATGTATGCTATATATATATATGGTAACATTTACCATCAATATACCCCAAATGTTAGCATATATACCATACATGGATCCTATGGGCAATATATGGAAAAATAAAAAATGTTCCAAACCACCAATCAGCTTTAAAATTCACAAAACATCAGATCCGGGTCATTTCTGCTCCTCCTCAGGCCTGACACGCGTCGTGACTGAAGCACCAATTTTAGGCTCACAGATTCCTTGGAAAAGAAAAGAAACATAAAAAAAAATATGCTTGAAGAATCAATGTTCATATAAAGTTCATAGAGGTCCAAGGTCAAAGCTACCTGAAAAGTAACAACTCTAGAGCCACAATGCTGAACAGATGTTGTCTGCGGCGTCTTGCCGGAGATACCTCGTGTCACCATACTTTGAAAGGGTCCTACCATAAAGTTGTGTTTTCGTTTGCGAATAGATGATCCATTCCAAACGATTATTCAAGTCAGAATCATGTGAATCACCCGGAGAGGATTCAAAGTTTCGACCACAAAGTTACTCTTTAGCGTGGTTTTATCAAAAAATATAAAAATTGTTGACATAGTTGACATAGGAAACTAACCAGGTGCTAGCTGGTTTACCTAGTCAAAAATAGCTGAGAACTGACAACCCTCTACCAAACCTCAAAAAATCATCTGTCAGTAAGCCTAGAACTGCATCACCCATCCCCAAATCGGAAATGTGTAATCCGATGCATAGTCCTGTATCGAGCTTCCAGGTTGACCATGCAACTATTTATTTTTACACCAGTGGTTTAAGTCAGTGAGGCCTCGAGAGGCCTCTATGGACTCTATCATTGACTCAGCATCACCAGAAAGGTAGAGAAACCATGGAGATGATATCATTATGGTTTCATAAACTCTATCATCTCCAGGTAGAAACAGATGGTTATCATCACCATCTCCATGTTTCTCCCTGTTTCTCCATGGCTGAGTCCGGCGAAGCGCCTGGGAGGAGCCTCGCTTCTTTCCTGACGAAGCTACCACGTAGTACGGCGATGAATCCCGGAGAATGTGGCTAAAACAATGCCATAAACCACCACATGTTTGATGGTTTATAGACGGTTTATACATGTTTATACCATCCATAGATGGATAAACATGGTGATTTTGATTGATTTTGGGGATTGTTTATGATTGTTTTAACCACACACATTACTGGCTTTGATGCAGGTACCTGGGAGTTTAATCTTGGCCTGCTGAAACTAGGCCGAACCATGGAGAAGAATAATCCCCTGGCGACTTCGGCAACATGGGAACCATATGGTCCGATGAAAAATCGAGGGACCAGTTTGGTACATTATTTACTATATCTCTTGGTTGAATCTTGTAGTAATTCACCAACCAAGAAAAAAAAACATAGACCCTGGCAAATAGGGCTTGGAAGATGAGTTTCCACTCAAAATGGTTTGTTTTCAGGGTCTACACTTTGTTAATCTACCAGAGCGTACCCAACCAGTGGGAAAAGGACATCTACGCACAGGAATGCATGGTGGTGACAGGAGGGAAGACGCTGCCAGGAGTCCTCTCCGCGTGCTGTCACCAAATTAAAGGCTTCTGCTGTCACTGAACTCCTGGGATGCTGGGGAACATGTCAAACCGGCGATGTTATCTATAAACAAAAGGCTATATGACCAATGGGAAAAAAACATCGCTTAGCAGCTGAGTGTTTCACCAATGAGGGGGAATGCCGCGAGCAACTGTTTTCGCGTACTAAACTATATACCGACATAAAATGGTATAGATCTTGGGTGCCCCTAAGTCTTGGACATACCCAACCATCCTGACTGCATATGATGAATTCTGACTGTTGGTACGATAACTGAACAACCAATTTGGTAAGGCTGCCATCAACGGGTATTGCTGATCTCTATATTTGGAGCGGCATCCCACGTTAAGTGTTTAACTCACTGTCATGATGTTCAGCATTGTTCAGAAAAATGTGATATCGGCAAAGTGGCAAAGTGAATCCTCGAACTCTGGGATTTGGCTTAATCTGAAATAAGCTGCCCCGAAACTCCGTCGCTTAATCAATGTTAAATCATCATTTCCAGAAATATGATCCTAATATGTCCTCATGGATGGTGCCTTTTTGTGATCTTTTAACATATATTTTATGGGCAAAATGTGGGCTTTAAAAAATGACCATCCCCCAAATCACCATAAATAGGTGGTATGCTTACCATTCCCAGTCATGGGTGGTTTATGGCATTGTTTTACCAACATTAACATTCATCACCATTAATCACCATAAAACAATAAATAACCAATACCATTATTAACCAACATTACTCCATTTCTTCAGCTCGGGTCTCCCACTGCCCCCCCCGGCAACTCCCACATCACAACTTGGCGCCCCGGCGGCTTCAAGGATAAGCGACGGCCTTGTCGAGCAATGACGACCATGGACACTTCCGGAACACAACTGCTTCAATGGATTTGTTTTATGGGGAAACTTATGGAACATCTACAATCTACATACTATATACATATTATAATATTGACATACATACATACATACATACATACAGACAGACAGACAGACAGACAGACATACATACATACATACATTACATACATTACATACATTACATACATTACATACATTACATACATTACATACATTACATACATTACATACATTACATACATTACATACATTACATACATTACTACATTACATACATTACATACATTACATACATTACATACATTACATACATTACATACATTACATACATTACATACATTACATACATTACATACATTACATACATTACATACATTACATACATTACATACATTACATACATTAAATACATTACATACATTAAATACATTACATACATTACATACATTACATACATTACATACATTACATACATTACATACATTACATACATTACATACATTACATACATTACATACATTACATACATTACATACATTACATACATTACATACATTACATACATTACATACATTACCTACATTACATACATTACATACATTACATACATTACATACATTACATACATTACATACATTACATACATTACATACATTACATACATTACATACCTTACATACCTTACATACATTACATACATTACATACATTACATACATTACATACATTACATACATTACATACATTACATACATTACATACATTACATGCATTACATGCATTACATCCATTACATACATTACATACATTACATACATTACATACATTACATACATTACATACATTACATACATTACATACATTACATACATTACATACATTACATACATTACATACATTACATACAATACAATACAATACAATACATTACATACATTACATACATTACATACATTACATACATTACATACATTACATACATTACATACATTACATACATACATACATACATACGTACGTACATACATACATACATATAATTGTATATATAATAATATAATCATACATATGATTACATAATCATATATTACATATATATATGTTATATATACACGGTCAGAAAAATATGTTTTTTACTCCAAATATACAGTAGCTGGAGATTGAACTAAGGCTCGGAGTGGTACCATGATGTGACTCTATTGTTGCTGGGAAATCTTACCGACACCACGTCAATCTGGGATCACCTTAAAGGACCATTGAAACCAGCGTGTTTCACGTCTTGAAACAATCGACCACCAAAGGCCTCAATTGTGGGCCCTCCACTATAAATCTGTTTATAGACCCCATGAAGTACAGTCATAATTGCCATAAATTATGAATAAACCCTCTGGTTGACCAAGTTATAAACGAAGTTCATCCGTGCCTAAGATGTATACCCAACACTCATCGAAAGCATGCTGGCTGTTTAGTACGTATGCTTGCCCGCATCTTGGGCCGTTCTGCATCGATATGGTAGATGGATATGGTATATGCTAGAGTCTGCTAGAGTATTGGTAGATATGCTCCCTACATGGTAAAGTATGTCTTTTGTTGGTGAAACTCCAGATTTTTGTATAGATGAACACACAAATATTCCCCCATTTCGATATATTGTTAACTTTTATATTTTATCATATTTTATCATATTTTCATCATATGTTATCCACTTTCACTGACGTTTTTTTTTTCCCCGTTCTTTTGCAATATCTACAGCACATCAGTACCTCCATCAACCCAGGCTGTGTTCCGGACCTATGGGAAGCGCAGGACCTTTCGGTTGCGACTTGGGCTCCGCCTGAAGGTGGGTGAAAAGGAAAAATCTATGGGAAACCTGAGATAGGAATCTCCATGAATGATAGGATCCCGCAATTTTTCCCTTGGACCAATGATCGTTGGGAAGATCTACAGGAAACCTGCAGCAAACTCACATAGAGATTTTTCCACGTGCCCGAGCCATTGATTCACCAGAACCATGTCGATCATTTCCGACGGAGCCATGGATTTCCAGAAAACTTCGTTGGCTGTGACCAGGAATGATACCATCTGGTTATGACTAACAGTTTGCCATGGAAAGATCCACCATGTTTAATAGGTAAACCATCTATAAATGGGCCATTTTCCATGGCTATGTTAAATAACCAGGAATGATATCTATAGTTATAGAATAGTTAATTTGCTACTAGTAAACCCCTAGTATCAAATCAACTATAGCTAGGGCAGCTAGGGGATTACTTGGCTTGTCCCCGAAACCCAATTCTGGGATATCTCGTATTGAAAGGACACTGACGTATACACTTGATTCACTTGATGCCAGCGCTGCATGTATCGTATTGTCGAACAGTTTAATCCAAACAAAGCCGAATGGATATCGACATGCCATTGAAACAGATCTACCTGAATATTAGCAGCTATTGAACACTGTCCGTCAATGAAGCTATCGTTGTTTGAAATACATACATACAATGGTGTGTATATATATATATATATATCTTATGTATATATATATATAAATACATTATGATGACATTATGTGTATATATATATATTAAATATAACAAAAATAAACAAGAGCCGTGTATCTGCATAAGATTCTTTGAACTGCAGCATGTTTCACAGCGTGCCTTCCCCGCGCCCTTGGGCGGGGGCGGTGCCGAAGCTTTGCCTTTTCCCTGGCGTGCTTTTGTGGTGCTCAGTTCCACAAGACCAAACACATCAGTCTTTTGGGGGATATGAAGGGAATCATAGATATAGATATAGATATAGAACAATATATATATATCTATATATTTGGAAAAACATAATGATATATATATATATAGAGAGAGAGAAAAATATAGAACTATTATAGAAACGAATCAACATTTGACTAATGTGGTTGTGTCTGCAAATATGGGATTGACCCCACAAATGGCCATCAAAGCAGCAGGGAACTACTTGAATTTTGCCATTAGAACGAGTTGCAACTCTTAGTTTTACAGCATTCACATCGTTAAAAGCAAGACATTGTTGCTGGTTGGTGGTTTTAACCCCCTGAAGAATATTAGCCAGATTGGATCATCATCCCAACTATTGGGGAAAATAAAAAATGGGTGCAACCACCAACCAGGTTGGGTTCAGTAGAATCATAGTACTATCAAGCCAAAGCTAAAACACACCATCACAGCCACAAGACCGGCTCCCGGCTTTGCCACCGAAGTGCCTTCACACCCTTACCGGCTGGCGGCGGAGCTTTACCTTTGCCCTGGCAATTCAGTGGCATCTGAGACATGACTAAAGCTTTCCTAAGTCATGGGGGATCCCCGGTCGTCACCATAGGTTGTTGACCTATACTATTTTATGGTCATCCATGATTTGGGGGCACCGATGACTTTGGAAACCTCCATATGGTTTAGGTTCCACCATTATCAATGGAATTCCTGAACTATCATGGGTATAGCGATATACGCCTATATATTAAACAATTGATTGATGACCATCCCCAATATGGCTACGGTATCCTATATAATTCAACTAACTCTTGGCCATTGCACATATGAAAGTCCATTGGCCCATTGGGACCATTCAAGGTAAACAAGAAGTTAGGACCTGGGACAGACGGATGACCGATCCCTGGGTGAAGCCTTAGACTACGCAGTTTCTGAGACCTAGGATATTCCATAGTTTCTGGCATAGTCACATTTCATCGGCAACCCCAGCAAAATTGTTAAATAATAATCATTAAAACCGTTCGAGTCCAGAAAATATGGCAAATTATGGACCCTGCCGTCAGACATGCCGAAACAAGACTTCTACGGTCCTCTTTCTTTCCATTTGGTTCTAACATGGGTCTGAAAGTGTATATACACCTATGAAGTGGCAATCATTTCTATATGAAAAACACATGATAAACCCATGGGGGTTTGGTGATATTTCACGGTTGATACAGCCAAAATTGGCTATGAAATATATGGTACCCTCTGGTTGCCCATTGTTATAGATGGTTTACCTATTAAAAATGGTGGATCTTTCCATGGCAAACTGTTAGTCATAACCAGATGGTAATGAATGGCCCCCAAATGGCAACTATTTTTCATGTTTCATAAACCCATGGGATTTGAGGATAACCCTCCGACAGCAGCCCGGTGGTCTGTGCCTTTCCACTTCCCTTCGAGGGAGGAGGTGGACCTTTGCCCTTGCCCTGGTCATGCGTCGAACGTGAATCCGAACGTGAACGAAGGGTAAAGGAATTGGGTAATTCATGGTAATTCCATTGAAATGCCCCTAATAAACCATAGTATGATGACTCAATTCTGGAGGATCCTCCAAGTGACCTCTTGCTAAACTTGAAGAGCCTGTCAGAGCCGCATGTCCTGTCTTTTCTGTTCGTTGTGATCATTCCACATTCCACCGTAACAAATCATAGTCCTCCGAGGCTCTCAGAGGAAATCAGAGACATGGTTCAAGTACGTTTGGCAATCATAAAAAACTCGAAGGACCCTGGCACATCCCGTACACAGAATGATGTGTGCGTTAGGATACTATATCCACATATCCACCATCCTTTTTTGAGCCAACTTTGACCCATGTGTCTGTCCATCGCTGGGGTACCTCAAAAATCCAATGATATATCATACTTACCTTTTGTTGCGGCATCCCCATTTTCAAACACGAACTCAAAACTAAAACGATAGCTGTTGGCTGTTGGTAAATAATTGTTATTTTAATTTTTGGTTGTTAAACCATACCAGCATGATCTTTTCAGGGCGACGAACAATCCACGAATGCACACGCCTTGCCACTAGCTGTGCTTGGCAAGTCTGACCTTGACGCATGTGTCCACGGAAAACAAGTCATGTTCGCTGCAAAAAACAACGACAACTTTAGTTGCGGAAGATAGAAACATGATTCTACCAGTATAGGCAAAATATGTATGGCCTTATATATGACACAGTAGCACCGTGCTATGATGATACTGACCCATAATGATCCCAAAGTTACACCTCCCAAAAAAAACAACCAACTGGGCAAAAACCGGCATTGTTTGGGTGACAATGGACTAAATCTTTGAGACATGGATGTTTGGATCCCGCTGTGGGACCTCAGCCTTTGAAAACTCAACGTTGCGCTCGCCTGTGGTATTTCCAGAATGGAACCCCACAATTCCATGGTTTATGTTTTTTTTTTCGCCCTCGGGGCCCTCGGGTACCCTAACGTGGCAATGGACAATTCCTTTTTTTTTTCAGGTTAAAACACCCATTTATACCGATTCACCAGCCAGCTGACAAATGGACAGCTAAGACTCTACATATATATATATATATTTAGTATATAGCCATTATTTAATGGCACAATGCCCATAAATCATCGGATTCTAGGGGTCCCCTATTTGAAAAAAAATAAAAACAACATTAGTCCGGCTTTGGCCATGACTTGGCACGGTTATCCCACTCCAAGTCCCATTCCACCAATAAAACTGCCATCATGCAGATTCTGGTGATCCCCACCATATCCCGTATTAGCATATATTAACAAGTTCCAATATTTTTTTTCATGCGGATAATTATGTTTGAAGATTATCACGCCAACATGATTAGTATCATCCCCAACTGATCGATCCTATGATTTCGTTGGATTCCCAGTCTTAGTGGGTTTCCCATTGGGTACATTCAGCAATTCATCGACTCAGCAAATCCAATTCTTGTTGTCGGTTATATCCCGATGATATCATTGTTCAAAACATGTGATATACCCCACACTAAGTATCCCGATGATGAACATGACACTCGGAACACTTTTGGAAGTTGACATGTCGAAAAAGTGTACGCCGTTGTGGCGTGAAGCACATTTCCATGTCAAATTGTTAAAAGCACCACATGCTCGAACCAGTTTTGAAGGCTCAGATATGATTTTGCGTGGCAGGCGCAAGGGATTCTGCACCTTGCCAAAAGTGAGCAAAACGTGAGGGTTTTGTAGCATTTCCAAAAACGATGGCAGACGTGGGACATGCGAAGAGGATCTGGAAAGATGCATGTCGCGTGACAAGCGCAGTACAAAAGATATGTTTTTCAGAGATGTTAGGAGGTCAGGGCGCTGATTTCCTGAGAAGGGTTGCATTTTGGAGCATCAGATCTTCAGGTTTGCTAAGATGATTGTACGTGACAGGTGCAGCACTTCCTATGACCTGCCATCACTTTTTCGTGGCATGCGCAATACTTTAGACAGATGGAGTGGAAAAATCGCAAAACGCATTGGTACGAAGCCGTCAGCAATGCACTCAACTTTCCATGTTTGAAGGAAGTCTCGCAGAATTGCTTTGTTTTTGCTGTTGTCAACTTCAGAAAAAGAGGAAGTCTCGCAGAATAGCTTCGTTTTTGACGTTGTCAAGTTCAAAAAATGAGGAAGTCTCCCAGAATTGCTGCGTTTTTGATGTTGTCAAGCTCAAAAAGATAGATAGATAGATAGACAGACAGACAGACAGATAGATAGATAGACAACTGCAACTGCACTACACTACAACTACAACTACAACTACAACTACAACCACACTACCACTACAACTACAACCTCGCCTACACTTCAAAACTACAGTTCAACTACAAGAACTAGAGCTACAAGCAGACTTACAACTTCAACTACTACAACAACTTCAATGACAATTACAACAACTACAATAACAAGTGCCACTACATATGCAACTACAACTCCACCTACAACTGCAACAACTACTACAACTACACTACAACTGCACCTGCAACTGCAGCTGCAACTACAACTACAACTACAACTTGAGCTACACTACAACTACACTTCAGCTACAACTTCAACTTCAACCACACTAACACAACAACAATGACCACAACACTGCACTACAACTGCAACTACAACTGCAACTACAACTGCAATTACAACTGCAACTACAACTGCAACTACAACTACAGCTACAACTACTCCTACAACTATTGCAACTACTGCAATTACTACAATTGAGGCCATTACAACTTCAACACTTCAACTACACTACAACTACAACTACAATTACAACTACAACATTACAAATTCAACAACATCAACCCCACTACAACTACAACTACTGCACTACACCACACTACATCCAGGAGCTGTGAGTGAAGTGCCCACTGCAACCATTGCAACCACTCCAAAAAGCACAACTCAAACCACCTTTCGGTCCATCAGTGGATTCGCTCTGCCATCCATGCATCATAACAACTCACCTCTCCTATAGTGTCCTATCCTTGAAACTTCCGCCACCGCCTTGTGCGGTACTACCGGTATCTCTATGTATATCTAACATATGGACCATTGGGATCTTTAGGTATCCACATAATAATTATAATATAGCTATTGTTCCATAGCCAAAAGGAACCCACAAAGAGGTCACCCGGGCCCCCCCACGTCGCCGGATTTGGCTCGGTCGATGGACCTGCCAGGGTCGGTGGCTTGAGCAACTGAATGGCATAGGTGTAGTTGACACATGTATTAGACTCATCAGAAACGGAGGTTGAACCAAGAAACATAGTTTTTTTAATAGTAACTTAGACTGTAACTATAGATCATGGATGTTAATGCGGTGTATAAACCAAACTTAGAACTGCGAGCCAACCCTGTAGCATAACTATAACCAACACCTAAGTATAGATCTAAGTTCAACCACTCACACATTTGTTCAGTAATTTTCAATTACTAGTGGACTTCCCCGAGATTTGAATGGGGTCCTATCCCAATGGAATCCTGTCCTAGGATTGAATGGCATCTATGAGCAAGGATGGATTTCTATGACTCTAGGTGCAACCCAAGTTTCACGGCCAACATTTATGTGAACCAAACAAATGGGGGGATCTACTGTTGTGTGCTTGTTTTTGTTCGATGAAATTTAAATGTTTGCATGGATCATCTCACCTAAAAAGCATCATGAAAAAAACATGGAAAACATGGAAAACCACAGAAAATGCGTTTGTTTTTGGTAATTTTCTACCAAGACATCGCCGTTGGTAGTTTCCCACCTGATGGATCTTGAGCACCTTCCTCGTCGTTCCTGGCGATTTGGGGTTGATCATTGGGTATACCTTGGTTTGGGATGATTCATTATAGTAATTACCCAAACATGTAGTAATACCATATATCATATATCATATAGCATTTGTCATGTGGGTATACTGATTATATCATATAGTAATTACAAGTAGCCAAATGTTTAATGAATGGGATCGTTTCCGATATTTATGGCATTGGGTTTACCAATTGTCCCCCAAGCTTGCCAAATGCCCCGCCTTTCGCCCTCATTGAGGAAAATATAGGAGTCATCTGAGTGGTCGCTGGCGTCATCATCTAAGTCTGCCAGGAGTCGCCTCGCAGCGGGTTCGACGATGGTTGGGGCTTGGGAGACCTCCGTCCTTAAGTGTCCCAAGTCTGCTCTAACAGTCTAACATATCTACCAATCTATCGTCGATCCTAACTATTTACCACCCGTACCACACAAGGCGGTGCCCTCCCTCCCTCCCTCCCTCCCTCTCTCTCCTTCCCCTCCCCCTCCCCCTCCCCCCCCCTCCCCCCCTCCCACTCTCCCACTCCCTCTCCCTCTCCCTCTCCCTCCCCCTCCCTCTCGCTCTCGCTCTCGCTCTCGCTCTCGCTCTCGCTCTCCCTCCCTCTCCCTCTCGCTCTCGCTCTCGCTCTCGCTCTCTCTCTCTCTAGGTCTATCTGTCTGTCTATCTAATTACCCATCTAGCCATCTAGCCATCTAGCCATCTAGCCATCTATCCATCTATCCATCTATCCATCACTCCATTTTTCCATCCTGTCCATCTGTCCATCTGTCCATCTATCCATGTATCTATCTATCTATCTATCTATCTATCTATATATCTATCTATCTATCTGTCTATCCGTCTATCTGTCTATCCGTCTATCTGTCTATCTGTCTATCTGTCTATCTGTCTATCTGTCTTTTTGTTTATCGATATATTTCTGTATTTTTTATCTATGTGTACGTATATTTAAATTTCTAGTTACATCTCTATCTATCTAAAACTATCTATCTATATGTATCTATATATGCATCTATATGTATATATATATATATCTAACCATCTATGTATGTATCTATCTATCGTTATCTCTATATAAATCGATATCTATCTACATCTATCTATCTACATCGATCTGTATCTATCTATATCTAGCTGTATCTAATTATATCTATCTATATCTACCTAAATCTATCTGCATCCATCTATATCCTCTAAACCTATCTATATCTATCTATATTCATCTATATCCATCTATAACTATCTATCTATCTATCCATCCATCTATCTATCCATCTATCTATCCATCCATCTATCCATCCATCTATCCGTCCATCTATCCCTCTATCTCTCTATCTCTCCATATCTCTATATATTTCTTTATCATTTATCCATCTATCCATCTATCCATCTATCTATTTATCTATCTGTCTATTCTACCCTAATCAATCTAATCAATCTAATCAATCTAACCAATCTAACCAAACTAATCAATCTAATCTACCTAACCTAACTAATCTATCTAATCTATCTAATCTATCTAATCTATCTATCTACCTTCCTACCTATCTATCTATCCATCCATCTACCTATCTGTCTATCTATATCCATCTATCTATCTATCTAACTATTAATCTATTTATCTATTAATCTATTAATCTATTAATCTATAAATCTATAAATCTATTAATCTATTACCTATCTATCTATCTATCTATCTATCTATTTAACTATTAATCTATTAATCTATTAATCTATAAATCTGTTAATCTATTACCTATCTATCTATCTAGCTATCTATCTATCTATTTATCTATCTATCTATCTATCTATCGATCTATCTTTTTTGATATCTAGTTGTCTATCCGTTTTTCTGTCTCTCTGTCAATCGCTCCCAAAATCTTTATCTCTCTTTTTCTCTCTCTCTCGATCTCTCCTCCCAATATCTCTATATCTCTCTACCTATATCTCTAACTGTTTGTCTGTCAAACCTACCTGTCTCTCCATCTCTCTCTACATCTATCTTTATCTCTATCTCCATCTCCATCTCTTTCTCTCTCAATCCATCCATCCATCTATCTACAATATCTATCTGAAAGGAAGCAGTTATGCGAAACTTCGAAGAAAAAGTGGAAGTTGACAAAGTTGACAGGTCCAATACCAAGCAACTCTGCAAGACCTCCTCAAAGAATGGAAGTGCACACGAAGAGATTCTGTGAGACTTCCACAGAATTCGAAGTTGACAACATCAGAAACGAAGCAATTCTGCAAGACATCCTGCAAAAATGATACGTGCAATATCGTGCAATTTTTGATCTCTCATCCGATCAGACAGCTCTGCACCGTCGCTTTACGAAGCCTACTTTTCGATCCTCTGGAGCCACAAAACTGTGGAGAAAACACGGTGTTTCGTGACTGTTCTACCTTTTCGCGCACCTTGATTGTCTTTCTACTTACTCTCTCTTCTCTGACTCTTCCCACAACTGCTGCTGCATCTGTCCATAGGTCAGAAGTTTGACTTCTAAACGTCCTTCGATGAATATTTCTGATGACTATATACACACAAATATGGTAACAAATATACAAAAATAGTATGTTTCACCCTATTTATGATTCGGTCTTTGTGAGGTTCCTATTACTTGCTCAGAGACATGAGAATTTGGATTGAAAACAATTGGAAATCACTGGTTGTTCACCCACAGCAGTTGGTTACATTTGCATCAATAACATCACATCATTAGCTAACCACAATATGCGAATCAAAAACATGTCTGGGTTTGGGTTGCACACGGTCAAAGCGTTTTGTCTCGTAAGTTTGGAAACAACATCAGGTTTGTTCTATGTGGGAATCAGCCACTCAATTTGTCCGGAAAGAAGTTGAATGCGGGCATGGTCAAGATTTTTGATCACAAACAAAATGATGAGTTTAATTAATTTACCATATCTTATCATTGATTCAATCAGATTTGTTTTGTTTCATATCTTTTTCGGTGTACTATACCACCTATGTTGCAGAAAACAGCGCAACACCTGATGCTGATCTGGCGATGCTTTTCAAAGCTCCGGGTGCTCAACAACAGAACCGATGGACACCTATTTTTGATGTGTGTCACCTATGTATAATATGTATATGCATTATATGCATGCAAGTCATCGCCAAGATATGCCCTTGGGTCATATGCCAATTCTTGGTGAGGTCATGCCTTAGCTTCGATTCCACTGGCTGATCAGCTTGCGTTGCCTGCGCGGCCATGACGAGGACTGGCTTCTCACGTCTCAAAGTTGTTGGGATTCCTTATGTTTCCTAAGTTCCATGAATTCTCATTCCATGCATTCACCACTATTAATCATTATTAACCACTATGAGCCACTATTAACCATTATTAATACCATGATTACCCGCTTTTAACCATGGTCAACCCTGGTATTTGGGGGCTGGGATTCAGCCTTTGCCGTCGCGGTCGGCCTCATCGCCTTCGGCCTCTTCGCCTTCGGCCTCTACGTCCTGGCCGGCCGCCTGGAATAAACAGATAAAGAATTGGATGGATAGACAGGGCAAGACAAGACAAGGCAAGATAGATAGATAAATGTATATTTATATGTATATTTACTGTATATATTTACATACATACATATATTTATGTACTGTATAATATAATTCATCATAGTAATTTGGTATAATCTCCACTTCTCATCTCTGTAAAGCATTCCATACTGAGGGCCCCAGCCTTAGCCTCTTGCTTCCGCCAGAACCAGAACATGGCACCGCAATTCAGTCGCGTGCCCGCGCGATGGTTCTGTTAGCCAATGCTGGGTTTAGGGGATTACATCTTACTGTAGATCCTAAAGAATATCGTCAAATTGATCTACTTCAAGCATATTGCAAAGTGGGTTTGTTGTCTCAAATGCACTTTTGTTGCATCTCTTGTATTTGTTCAATGAGATTTGTTGGAGAAAAAAACAAACTCAAGACATGAAACGACTGCAGAAGGTTCCGGCAGGAGCAGGACATGGATCTGCAGTGCGCATGGCTAGCCTCAGTTCGCCAGTGTCCAGGATGGGACAATCACCATGGGCAGACTGGAAGGGATAGCAAAATAGTCTAAGGGGCTCTGAATTCAGCATGAAGTTCGCGTTGCGGAAGCCCCCCAAAGATCTATAATTATTCTATAATTCATGTATACTGTAGACGCCATTACACGGCCAAGTTTCTTTGACCCACCTAAATAGACCCATGAAAACGGTGAATGACTTGGGGATCCCAATTTGGACATGTTGCCTCCAACTCATCAGAGTTTTCTCCATTTTCACTCCGCGAAATAGAGTGGCCTGCTGCAAATCAGCCAATGATGAGAGTTCAGCCGCTGCAGCTATACAAACCATGAGTGTTGTTTCTCTGTTCTTTTTCAACTGATGGCTTGGGAATGGCCTGTTCCGGGTGAAAAAAATGTCCCAACCTCAAAGGATATTCATGCAGATGTATAGTAAAGAATATAAATCTTGATATAATAATATATATATATATATCTTAAAATACTACATAATAATATTTACTGCTATATACTATTATATATATATCCTAAGGTGTTTGTGAGGGTGCTCCGCTGCAAAATGTTGTTTCCCCTTATCCTCACCGCAAAATTTCAGGTACTGCCGGCACGCGAAAAATGTCATGGCCGTGGATACCGATCGACATAACAGTGACTGGTTGGTGGTTTCAACTATTTTGAAAAATATTAATCAGCTGGGAAGGATTATCCCATATATATATATTATGAAAAATAAAAAATGTTCGAAACCACCAACCCGATATTGTGGTCACGCTTATAATACACACAAAAAAGGGGGATGATTGTACCACCCAATACCAGCCATTTCTGACGGTGTATTTTTGGGTCTGACCATATTGGTCGGGTGAAAACAAAAACGACGTACAGCTGAAAGCTCCCACCATGATCATCCTTGTGAAACCATGGCGATGCCACAGAGTGAACATAGCGTTTTAGGCATCTTTGATGCCTCACGCCAAACTGGAGCTGACTTGTCAACGGTTTGCAAAGGATGGGAATCTGTGAACTTTGGACAGTCAACCATAAAATAGATCAGCTGTTTATTGTTGCTGGCGCCGTGCCTCGCCGCCTGTGTGTGAAAGCTCATTTTTCGGTTTTTGCCTTGGTTGAGGTGGGGTGGGGTGGGGTGCATGGGACATGTTAACGTTCGCTTGCACTTGCGTCATGACTTTGATGCTTCGTGACGGATGGGGTGGGGTGGGGTGGGGCATGTTTGCTTATTGTTATTTATTGCTCTCGTGTTTGCTTCCGAAGAAATCTATCATTTGGAGGAACCACTCACCTCCCAGAGCGAATCACCAGACATAAAACCACAAAGCAATCATCACCAGCACAGAACTTCTTGGCAAATCTTCTCCAGAAGAAATTGGCTCCCTCCGCTGGCGTTACCCTTTCAGGAATGCCACCGGTTTCGCTTACCGAGTTAATCATCCAGCATACCTCAGTGGGACATTCTTAAAATCTCCAAAATGACAGAACAAAAATTGCAAAATGTCCTTCAAAATGCGAGGATACTTTCAAAGTCTCTACCTTGAAACCCCCCAAAATTGGGAATGCGATGTTTTTGTTTGAGGGCTTCCAATTGCACTTCGTTGCCAAACTCTAGTGACACTTGTCGACATGCAAGCCTGCAACCGAATCTGGACTTAAACCACTCAAACCCCATGTTTCCATGACAGTCCACAGCTACAGTCTCTTAGACTCTACAGCACCTCAGTATCTCATCAATATGGTCCGCCTCTCAGTGGTGGCGCTGATCGGGTCCCAGACTCACTTTGAAGTAACCAGGGGAACCCAAGAATTTTGGTTGGTAAAACCATGAAGAAAAAGACAAGTTCCTGTAAATGTCGGCAAATGACTGCAGTTACCAAGCCAGAAATGAGATTGAAACAACCATTTTGGCACTCACTCCCCTTACTGCCCACCATCTGTGTCTGAAAATTAGGTATACCCCCAATTGATGCCACCTGAATGGGGAAACTATTATTAAACTTTGGTCTTTTACGTTAAATTGTCAAACAAAGCCAAATCCACCATGGGTTAGCTAATGCATATAATCATCATAAACTCCACAACAAATGGTAAATCATTAAAAATATGTGGGTATACGATATATAGCTATATGATATATATATATACCATTATATACCGTTACAGATATCTGACATACCTATGATATGCCCATCAGATCTCCATAACCCGATGGCTTCCCCAATCGCTTCACCAAGCTACAGAGCAACGCCACCCCGCGACGGACCCAATGCCCTTGATCCTGTGGATCGATTGCCAATACGAGCCGGTTGCAACACGAGAAAGGGGAAAAAACGAGCTATCCGATGTTGCAAACTATTCCCATCGCAAAATTGGATAACATTGGGATATCACTTGTGACTAATACCAATCTCTGAGATTCATCAACACCTTGAAATCATTTGAAATCACATGTATATCTATATCTATATTATGCCCATCAAAATGGGGAATATCGGAATAGCCGATGTTAATCTGCAATGGGTCAGGCCATAGGGCGTCATAACAAAAATGATAAACACATGGCTCAGTAGTGGCTGGGGAGGATAAGGTCGTGACCCCAACGGATATGATAAACTACAATGGCTTGGCAAGCGCTATTGTCAAAGCTGGCTAATACAAAATAATGCTTACCCTAAACCCTAGGGTAAGTAACATAGATGTGGAACATGGCTCATTTATGGATGAATTACCCAACAAACGCCCATGAATTTCCATCATCACGGGGCGAAATACTGGCCCGTTTCGAGGTGGTTAAAAAAAGATGTCGATCTACAGTATCTGATACACAAATCTCCTCAAATATTATATACTGTACATATGGAGGTTTCCTGAAATGGGGGTACCCCCCAAATCATCCATTTTAATGGGATTTTCCATTATAAACAATCTATTTCGGGGTACCCCCATTTATGGAAACCCCCATATATAGACAGTATATCACATGGTATATATTTAGATGCATCATGATGCATCCATATGTGACATATTTCTGTCCATCTTGGTGCGCACATGTGACTGTTTCCTCATTTTCCGGCCACAACAAGTGGCATCAAAACATATCAAGCGCCGTGCCTCGACATCACTTGGGAGGTGGAAATAACACACGAAGTTGGTTGAATGGCCTGGATCCGTTCCAGTGGCATGAGATGGAATGAGCTTGTCCGGGGGATGCGAACATGGCCGAGCCAAAAACTGATGATAAAACCCCAGATCATGAACGATGTCAACAAACCAATTATCGGATGGGCATCCAACATGATCAATTTCACTGCCAAAATATGATTGACTATATAACCAATCCGATATGATCATGATCCGAAATTGGGATACACCCAAAATATCAAAAAAGAACAATGTAGGGTGACAAGGGCTGCCCAACAAAAAACAATTGCAGAGATTGTATTCGAGAGCAACTCCTCTGATTTCAAGCCAAACAGCTCTAAAAACGGCTGATTCCACTGGGGATTTGGGTAATGTCATAGATGTTTGAGGTACAACCACAGTCCATCCATCTCACCAAATCTCACCAAGTCCATCCAATCCCTATCCAAGCCCTGCCTGTAGTGGCTAAGGTGCCCTTGCGTAAGGACGTCTTGTATAGGGGGCACGTATACCTGCTGCGGCACCAAATGCTGGCTGCGGCAAAACTTAAGGCAGTAGGATATCTGCTGATGTCTGACAGCTTCCAGTGTTTCATAGGACTTGCTGATCTCTATAAGAAATCGCAAGGGAGTCTAGCCTTTTTCTCGAAAACTCAAATTTGATGGTATCACCAACTTTTGACCGACATCCCCCTCTTTCATATGTACCATGGTCAAAAAGATGGCTTATGGATACTTGTGGTATGTTTTGGAAATCCAAACGCAATGGATAATCCCTGGGTGGATGACCCTTTTGCACATCTGCCGAGAGAATGTCGGGCCTTCCAGGTTGCTTCGACACGTTGCTGTAAACGGCCTGTGGCGATCACCGTGATCAATGGAACCAAGCATTGGGCATCACTGGGCATCGGCACATGAGCCATGCCAGAAACGTTTGCTAATCAAATGTCACCAGTCATCCACTTCAAGTGATGAGTTCAGAATGGCATTCCGGAATGGCTGTGTTTTTTCAGCATTCAATCTGAAAATTTGTCTCGAACATCTGTCAACCAACAAGGGTGGTAGCAGATGTCGATTCAAGGGCATGACGTTCTGCATCTACCTATCAATCAAATTAGGATCACCAGACCATATGATTTTCACATTCCCGAAATCATTTCCTTCAAGACAATTAGAGCAACCTAAATAAATCCACTTCAGGACCATACAACTAGGATGTTTCCCTGTATTACCACCATTTCTGGTGAGCGCCATGGCAATGAGGTCATAAAACACATTTCCAAGATAGTTACTCTCCAGCAAGATCACTATGGAAAATCGATGAAAGTCTAGCAGTGAAGCTGATCTACATTCAAAGTGGATATGTATAAATATACCCTCTGGTAAACAAGCATAGCTATTGAAGATGGCCATTTATAGTTGATTTACCCATTAAAAATGGTGAGTTTCCATAGTTATGTTAGTTTACCAGAGGGTATATATAATTATAATATGATATAGATTTATATAGGTCAACCTAAACTTAGTTACTCTAAGTCTTACAGTACATCCCCATGATCTCCTCACCATTCTTGCTTCACCATGGATTATTCACTTCACGGTTACAGTAATTGTGATGAATCATCGTGTATTCCCCAGTTGTTTTCCATAATTGAACGATGGAGACCCTTCTGTTCAATAGGGTATTGAACATGGGTATTGAACGAAATGGACACAAGTACCTCTTCAATACCAAAACGTATTTACTCACAACCGGGGATTTCTTATGGGGGATCCCCAACCGTCACCATTGGTTTCAATACTAAATCATGGTCCATGACGACTGGATGATAATTGGGGGTACCATGAGAAAACGGAAACCTCCATATGGAATTCTTTGACAATGTGTGACACTAGATGAATCATCGATTCTCCTGTCCCCAAATATGATTTAGTGTATTTCCTCATATTATCCCCAAATATGATGGTCGATGTCCTCATATCTTGCCTGAAAATGACCACTTTTTCATGAGCGAATGCCCCGACTGAAAGCAACATCCCGGAAAAACACCGCCTCTTCTACGACTTGGATCCAAGTGATCGGAAGCTCTTTGAAAAGCACAGCCTGGACCGAGGGGATTGACCACGGACGACGGGACTTATGGCTTAAAGGCCCAGAAAATAATTGAAATATCACTTATTCTTGGTCAGAACATTTTAGAACAGTTTGTATACTGAGTTATATATATATATATATATACGTATAGTTGCGTGCCTGGACAGTTGACCAGTAGAATTTGTACATCATCATTTCTTTAGTTGTTTACCCATATGTGTTTGTTTCTTGTTGAGTTAATGAGGGTTTGAGGCATACGAACTACATAAAAACATGTAAGATATACCTCAAGATACCTCAAGTATGTTGTTGTTCATATTATTTAATATCCATGAATTACATATATATATATATATACATATATATATATGAGAACTATATATCAATATGTTGCTGTTGTTGTGTGTCGGATACCGGAAGCAGCCACTTCCTCCACTGCTCCGCGCAAAGTGACCCCCTGCCGTCCGACGCCTTCTCTGACTCGACCATTTTCACTGTCTCCACGTCCCATCCAGCGCCCTCAGCGTAGAGATTTCCCACCATGTTTCCATCATTTTCGTCTTCAAACATGCAGAAAAAATATGGAGAAAACTGGTCCATTAACCTTTTTATTTCTATTTTTCACCTTCAGAATGGAGAAGAAACATATGTAAAAAAAAAACATGCTGGCGGAATTGGAAGTGATGCATGAGACGTGCAGTGCAAACTAAACACGACTCAAAGTATATGGGCACGCGAGTTTGCAGATCCACAAAAGGGACGGTTCACGATACCACAAATAACCGGTCAATTCATGGTTCCGGCCGAAACAAGTTGTGACCCATACCCAATGGTCAAAATTTGGACCCCAATGTTTAACCTTCGAATCAGGTTGTCATCCCCCAAAAAACACCGTCAATGCAGCCTTTCCCACTTGCCACATGGATTCCATATGATTGTCATATCTTCATACTTTGGGGCGCAATTCTAGTTGTAACATGTTGTACATGTTCTAACTGTATACGAAACTGTCTAGTTCTATAGTGCCCCCCTCCCAACTAATTTGGGTCGGCCTGAAGGAAGAAGCCATGGACGTTAACCCCATCCTCCTCGGCGTGTCACCACGTGGCCATGCGTGGCCTATGGGTCTTCCGGAGAATGCTGTCCAGTACAGAAACAATTTTGTGACACCTAATCTATTGGCATAGTAGGAATAATGTGGGATTTCTTGTCTTAATCATCTATATATATATACATATATATATATATGTGCGTGTCCTATATTTTTGTCGAAGGCTGAAGCCTGGATTTCAGAAGTCTTGAAATTTGTTGACATAGCCTGAATTACCCACACGACCAAACATGCGGGAAGCAGTCATTTGGTTTGGAGAAAACATTGGTTTTATCAAGCTGTGTCCTGTGAAAATTCGTTGGAGATCATGTGCATGACGCAGCGCCAGGCCCCTTTTCCCTTGTCATCATCCATTGCCCTGCTACTGTGGCAAATACATGGCACTACCATCCACGGTCTCGTCATCATCATCATCATCATCATCATCATCACCAGCTTCACCACTGATCCCTTCCCCCTAATGTTAGATACCATCCAAACGAAAGCTGGGTCTAATATGGGATATATACATATAGAATTACATATTCACTTTGGGGGCCATATGCTGGCTATTAAATCAATACTAGGGGTACTGTGCGTGGATATTGATGACTGCCTATAAGGCAATCACAGCACTGGGATACATCTTGCACACACCCATACACACCTCTAAGATCAAGCGCAAAAACGAGGGGTATAGGCGGTATAGGCTTATCGTCACCATTTTCCTGCACTGAACATGCTAAGCTGAAGGCTGGTCTCTTGCAACCCATGGGGTCAGTGCCATTGGTGGGTTCCTGCCAAAAGACCAAATCCTGAGCCAAATCGGATCGGATTTGCGGCTTCCCAATCAACAGGATCGGTGGTTTCAAGAGATTTTTGTTGGCATTACTTCATCTTATCATTCCTTGCTAGTGCAAATCATCCCCATGTTTCTTGCTTCGATCTCCGTCGATTTTGTGTCGCAACTTCCCAACACCTTCATTGAGATAGTGAACCCAAAAAAACATACGACCCATGGAAAACATGTAGACCCTCATTCAACAAACCCGAGGTGGCCAGTTTCAGACCTCTAGAATTGGGGTAGATACTGCATCTGTCAACAGCAGCAAGGCAGTCCTACGAATGGTTCCGGTTCTAAGGGCTGCACATCGATTGGGATCTTGGTTTTTCGTGCATGCACCTGCTTTCGGAGACAGCGAACCAATCAACGTAGGGAAGATCCTGGACACAAACGCGATTGGTATCCGATACGCCGTATCCGCTGGTTTTAGCAGTTTGCTATGGGATGGTCCATTTGTAGATGATAAACATGATGTTTTACCTATTAAACATGGTGTTGTTGTTTTTTTTCATAGCTATGATGAGCTATGTCAATCATCCCCAGAGGGTAAGCGTTCCAAAAAGCGGGGTCACTTGCTGCTCCCAATCATCATCCGCCGTCTTTGAAAAGAGGGGAAGTGAAATATATTGATAACCACTAATCCTCAATGATGTTTTTACTAAGAATTACACTAATGTTATGATATCCCAACATAATCTAGTATAATATAATATAAATATATACAACATAATATGAGTTATATCTATACTCATTATACCCATATAATTACCCGTTATATACCAACGTTCAATGCTAAAATCCCTGTCTTGTTGCTGTTTGAAACCATCGGGTCATGGTCATCCCCACCTGTTTGGCACAGGTCATAAAGCCTTGAGGGAAGTAGAAACATGGCACCTGAGCGTGCGCCAAGTGGTGCCAAAATGGGTCTAAATGATCAGAGACAATCATTGGCATGACATGATGACAGGATTCACTCTTCAAAAGTTTTGTCAAAAGTGGCAGATTCCTGGTGATTGAACATGAGACTTGTTTCGACTTCTGGGCTGGTGATTGCGGTGGAGTAGGTCATATGTAGCTATTTGAGGAAAGTAGTTCTCTGGTATACGCCCGTGCAAACGAAAGTTGAGCCATCCCAAAGGAATTTGACCACTAAAAAATCATTTTCCCATGTCTTGCAAAATAGGAAAAAATGAAACCGCCACTGTGACTGGGAGCATTTGGATCTACCATTGTCCCGGACTGGGACGATATATCATCAATGGTAACCCCAAAGAATATCAACAAAAATATGGAGGTTTCCGAAACCATGGGGGTACCCCCAGTCATATCAGTCATCACCCACTTATAGATGGAGTTTTTCCATGAAATGGCAGCTTGTCAAAACCCTGTACCCCTGGTGAACATCAAAATAACTGGTAAATGGATGTTCATCCCCCTAAACATGGTATTAATAGGTATTGACCCATCCCCAAATCAACCATCCATTTTTTCATGGCTACCAACCCTCCGCCTTCCCGGAAGCCCTCAAGGCATCTCAAGGCTCCCACCCAGAAGCTCACGGGCGGACCCTTGTGTAGCCACCGCGCCATGAAGGCGATCCGCTCCTGCCAGGTAATCCCACTATATAAGGTATACATATATATATATATATTCATTCATCTTCATGGTTAATAATGGTTAATCATGAGATTAATAATGGCTAATAATGGTTAATAATGGTTTGTAATATGGTTAATAATATGGTTAATAATGGTTCATAGTGAGGTTAATAATGATGTTAATCATGAGGTGAATAGTGAGGTTGTTAATAATGAGGTTCATAATGGTTACTAATCAGGTTGGTAATGGTTAATAATGATAAATAATAATTATGTTGATAATGGTTGATAATGAGTTTAATAATTGTTAATAATGGTTATTAATGGTTAAAATGATGTTAATAATGAGGTTAATAATGATGTCAAGAATTGTTAATAATGAGGATAATAATGGTTAATAATGGTTCACAATGGTTAATAATGGTTAGTAATGAGGTGAATAATGGTTAATAATGGTTAGTAATGAGCTTCATAGTGGTTAATACTGGTAAATAATGGTAAATATTGGTAAATAATAGATTAATAATGGGAAAACTGGTTAATAATGATTTAAAATTGTTAATAATGGTTAATAATGGTTAATGATGTTAAGAATGAGGTTAATAATGAGGTTAATAATGAGGTTAATAATGGTTAATAATGGTTAGTAGTGGTTAATAATAAGGTCAATAATGATGTTAATAATGAGGTTAACAATGAGGTTAATAATAAGGTTGATAATTAGGTTAATATATAATGATGTTAATAATGATGCTAATAATGGTTATAAAATAATGAGGTTCATAATGAGGTGAAAAATCGCTAATAATGGTCAAAAATGAAGTTAATAATGATGTTAAAAAAAAAATAATGGCTACTAATGATTAATAATGCTTAATAATGGTTAATAATGGTTAATAATGGTAATAATGATGTTAATAATGCTTAATAACGGTTAATCATGGTAATAATGATGTTAATCATGAGGTTAATAATGAGGTTAATAATGAAGTTAATAATGACAATGATGGGGTTTAAATAATGGTTAATAATGGTTAATAATGGTGAATCATGGTGCATAATGAAGTTAATAATGAGGTTAATAATGGTTACCCGCAGGACCTAACGTTCGCACATGATGACATAATGTCTCATTTTTCCAACGGGGTTAACACATGTTTCATCCACCGTTCGAACCGCCTTGCAGGGATGGGCAGTACACTAGGTGTGGCCCCTCGCCATGGGTATATGACACGAAAATTTGCGTCATGGCTCGTTTCACAACAATTTGCGGCAACAACACTTCGCAGACTTCGTGGGGGTCCGTGGAAAAGAAGGGCCATTTCGTGCGAGAAAACACAGGCTCTAGGCAAACATCCGGTTCTGTGCGAATGGTTAATAATGGTTAATCATGGTTCATAATGGTTAATAATGGTTACCAGTAGTACCGCACAAGGCGGTGGCGGAAGTTTCAAAAATAGGAAACCTATAGGAGAGATTGGTTGTTGTGAATCAGGGATGGCAGAGCGAAGCCACTGATGGACCGAAAGGTGCTTGAGGTCTCCTCTCTTTCTCTCTCTTTCTCTGACTATCTACCTACCTACCAACCTATCTTCTATGTATCTATCTATCTATCGATCTATCTCTTTCTCTCTCTCTCTTTCATCTAATTACCTATCTATCTATATATCTATCTATCTATCTATCTCTCTCTCTCTCTCTTTCATCTGTCTATCTGTCTATCTATCTATCTATCTATCTGTCTATCTGTCTACCTGTCTATCTGTGGTGCAGCGTCATTCAGTGTAATGTAGTGTAGTGTAGTGGAGTGTAGTGTAGTGGAGTGTAGTGGAATGTAGTGTAGTGTAGTGTAGTGTAATGTAGTGTAGTGTAATGTAGTGTAGTGGAATGTAGTTGCGTAGTCGTAGTTGTATTTGTAGTGGAGTGTAGTGTAGTGTAATGTAGTGAAGTGTAGTGCACGGTAGTGTAGTGTAGTGTAATGTAGTGTAGTCTAGTGGAGTGTAGTGTAGTGGAGTGTAGTGTAGTGTAGTGCAGTGTAATGTAGTGTAGTGTAGTGAAGCGAAGCGACGCGACATCTGAACCTCCAAAAGTGGTCCGAACCCCTGGTGTTTTTAACATTTTGACTTCGAAATGTGCTTCGCGCCACAACAGCGTGCACTTTTTCGACATCTGAACCTCCAAAAGTGGTCCGTACATGGTGTGTTTTGTACATTTTGACTTAGAAATGTGCTTCGCGCCACAACGGCGTACACTTTTTCGACATCTCAACTTCCAAAAGTGGTCCGAGAATGGTGTGCTTTGTACATTTTGACTTGGAAATGTGCTTCGCGCCACAACGGCGTGCACTTTTTCGACATCTCAACTTCCAAAAGTGGTCCGAGAATGGTGTGTTTTGTACATTTTGACTTGGAAATGTGCTTCGCGCCACAACGGCGTGCACTTTTTCGACATCGCAACTTCCAAAAGTGGTCCGAAAATGGTGTGTTTTGTACATTTTGACTTGGAAATGTGCTTCGCGCCACAACGGCGTGCACTTTTTCGACATCTCAACTTCCAAAAGTGGTCCGAACCTGGTGTGTTTTGGACATTTTGGCTTGGAAATGTGCTTCGCGCCACAACGGCGTGCAATTTTTCATCTCTCATCTGGCCAGCTGGCTCCGCACCCGCCGCTTTAGCGAGCCTACTTTTCGACCCTCCGGAGCCCCAAATCATTGGAAAAAAACACAGTGAATCGCGACTTTCCTACCTTTTCGCGCATCTGCATCTTCTTTCTTCTGATCTTGTCTCTTCTGACTCTTCTCTCTTCTAATCTTCCTCTTCTCTCTGCCTCTGCCCTGCTCTGCTTTTCATCTGTCCATATTGTCGGAAGTTTAACTTCTAAACTTCCTTCGAATAATGCTTAATGATGGTCAATAATGGTTAAAGTTGATTAATTATGGTTAATGTTGATTAATCGTGGTTATTTATGGTTTTATGGTAATTAATGTTGATTTAATGGTGATGAATGGTGATGTGAGTAAAACAATGTCATAAACCACCCATGACTGGGAATGGTAACCATACCACCTATCAAACTGGTGATTTGAAGGATTGTTTATCCTTGTTTTACCCACATTCATGTATAAAGTTGAAGGGTTTAATTAATGGTGAATATATGGTGACCTGGTTGGTGGTTGACCTACCCCTCTGAAAAATATGAGTTCGTCAGTTGGGGTGATGACATTCCCATATATGACATGGAAAGTCATAAAAGCGATGTTCCAAACCACCAACCAGTGAATAGTTGCTAATCATACTGCTTGGTGGCTCATCCCACTTAGTAAGTGGGTTATAATCCCAGTTATAAATGGGATAAGTAGGGTTAATCCACTTATAACTGGGTTATAATCCACTTACTAAGTGGGATGAGCCACCAAGTGGTGACTAATGGAATCACCCTCCGAAAACATGGCTGGGAAATCCCGGGGAAATGTGCCATGTTTGATGACCGGAGGGTAAACCATATGCTGGGTAAACCCCATGACTGGGTTGGGTAAACCATGGTGTTTACCATGGTAGACCGCTATTTGGGATGATAGGATGAATTAAGAAGATATCAATGGACCCCGCAACAGATGTTTACTGCGATCGTTTATGGTTGGTTTTACCACATCAGCAAACCATTTAAGGGATTTGGGAATGTAATGATACAACGGGAATATGATCGAGTATGAGGGTTATATACACAACAACAAACTCTAGTAATTGAACAAGACACTATGGAAGACAATCGTGGGGAAACCGGTGTTGGAAGGTTTATCATGTCATAAGATAAAGATAGATAAAGTGTGCCATTGAAGATCAATAGATATCAATAGTCAAAAACAAAAAGGTGTGTTTATTTATCCAATACTGTAATTGGAAACCGCCCTGGATCATGCTCATTGGGTTTCGATCTCTGGGTCTGGCACTGGAACCCTTCTGCTGTTGTGGCGCAATGCTGGGTGGATTGTCTGACTTGAACAAACTGGATTTTAAGGCATTTTTAGGGTGAAGAACCACGGTGGTTTACCAACAGCTGCAAAATTACAAAATTGTTGCTTTAACAACTAAAAGCCACCGCTCCACCAAAAAAGGCCTTTTCGGGGTGATTCATGTCATAGAATCCCCATGAACCCCTGCAAACAAGGGCCGATTCTTAAGCCCCTGTTGCTATTCGGGGTTACCAGCACCACCAGCACCTCAAAGTCCGTGAACCACGAGTTCAACGGCTTCAGGCATGGATAAGCCACCTGGCGTGGCAGAGCAACGCTACAATTTCAGTTGTTATTTGAGGAGAAAACTTCCGAAGTCTTCGATGCTTATACGGTTATTTTGAACCATTTTGAGCCATGTTGAAGCGTATTGGACCAAGAAATCTCATGAAGGGTCTGGTGAAGAGGGGCTGGCGGACAACTACTGAATTGGATGAATTTCTTCCTGGCACAGCTCACCTCTGCGTTTTGGAAAGGTTCACATGCGTAGATACGGATGCTATCATACTGTGCTCTCTGCACAATTTGGAGGTTTCTGAAAAAGATTGTATACCCCAAAACCATGGATTCAACACAAGACTGTTTCAATTTTGGATGTTTTGGGGGTGCCACCACTTTAGGAAACCCCCGATGTTGTGCCTCGCCCCAGTTGGGCGGAAGCTTCTGTAAAAGAAAGGCGTTGTACATGTCCTGCCAAGACAACCAAATGTTAGCGGCAACGAGCTACAAAAAAATCCCAAACACGGATGTCGGGATAGGTATTTTACTTCTTGCTGACATCCCAAGGTTTCACAGTGTGTATGTGATCTGAGCTAATGTAATGCCAACACCGGATTAATAACCGCCCCCAGAAGGTCAGGGTAGACCTTGTGGAGCCCCCCTTAATAATAAGCATCTTCTGAACCATAAAACTTTGGATATGGCTTACGTCAATTAGATCTTCATAGAGTTCCATTGGATTTGATAAGATTTGATTGTTAAAATCTCATGGATCAGAAAGGGGGTTGATTAATAAGGGCAAACCCTTTTTATTATTAATGGGGGACATGGGCTCATGGGGGGTACCCTTTGGGAGCTATCGAATCTGCTGATTTTTAAAAAACTTTAATTAGAAATCGATCATTTGGGGAATAGTTTTGTTTCAAATTTTCAATGATCAGCAGTGATGGATTCTGGTGTTCATGAGGTTTCAACTTAAGTGTAGATATAAGGAAACCATTTGAAAATAAAGAGAGTTGCAAAATAAAACAAAATAGGATTTCAGCACTGGTGGTTGATTAATCATGTCCGGCCAAAACGGTTTTTTAATCCTAGGGGACCACCTGTTTTTAAATTGCAAAAAAAAGGAGGAGGAGGTTGGTTAATAACGGGATGTTGATTAATCCTGACTTGACATTAATCTTATGCAATGTAATTGATGCACATCTAATGCAATGCACTACTATGAACTGCACTGCGCTCTAATATAATGGTATGTCTGAATGTATGTGCATACTATGTATATATATATATACGTACATATATGTATATATATGGTTGTTGATCAAAATTCCTTTATCCCGGAACGGCCATTCTTCGCGAATAAAATTGTTACTTTCGCGAAACTTTCGCGACCTCCATGTTTATCTTTCGCGGGGCCCGTGTTGGCCAACAACACCTCTTATGAAGATTCGTTCACCACCTGTCAAATTACGCCAGAGAATCACGGATCACTTCTTGGTAGCCTTTTAAACATGCAGCTAGCATCACGGAATCCCTTCTCAGGACAGATTTTTTTTTTGCAAAGTTTACTGGCCCACCCCCTTGAACATGCACTTTGACTTTCGCCCGCTCTTTCGCATAACTTTCGCGAAAATATCCCTATTCACAGACCCCGGCTATCAGCAGGGGGTGCACTGAAGGAAAAGCGAAGACCAAACCTTGGTGCTTGGCTCTCGCAAAGCCTCACTTTTGGAAACTTGGCTACTGCTACTCGCATTCTCTGGTGCCCTTCTCCTGCCGGACCCCGGGCGGCAGTGGGTGGCAGCCCTTTACATATAATGATTATAATACCCAACTTTCGCGAAATAAAATTTTACTTTCGCGAACTCGAAAAAAAACTTTCGCGAGGGTTTCCAACATAACATGCACGGCTTTCGCAATTAAAACTCCTTACAAGGACCTTTAGATCGATCACCCTATATATATATATACATACGTATGTATCTATATATATATATATACATATACATAGTGGTTGTGTTGAGTTCTCCTTTACAATTCCGTTTGTGTTAAAGAGTTGTCTTTTCTCAACTAAAACAACTTGAGTTTCAGCTGGCTGGTAGTTTCACTACATCCTCTCGTAGTCCATTGGGACCAAAGGGAACGGAAAATCAAACAGGAAACCACCGACCAAGTTGGCAATCAAACTACAAGCTTGCAATATTTAGTACAGAACTCCAAAGCTCTGGTTGAGCCTATTTTGTTCCTTATTTTCGTTTATGTTTGAAATGGGAGACTGCGAACTAAGCATTCCTAAACATGTTGGATGTGCCTTTTTCGATGAGGAAGAATCCTCACTCATTTTGGGGCTTTCCCGGGTCTTCATCACATGGGGGCTTTACCCAGTGCTCCTCACCCTCAAACATGTACTAGGTTGATGCCCGGCAATGGGTACGATGATTCAAGGGATATAACGGAACACACAAAACATGGTACATGGATATACCAATCTCCTCAACCAGCCATATAGGAGTATGTATATATATATAAATATTTATAGACCTTGTGTGATGCTGTTTAAGTCCCATACGTGTGGTGTATATGTGTGTGATGGTAAACCATGGTAAACCATACAAAAAAAGGGAGACAACTGAATTTATGGCATTTGGTTTACCACATTATTGAATGACATTGAGAGAGTTTCCTCGATGTCATGGTCTGGATACTGGCCACCAATCTCTCTGGCTGACTACTGGGACGTCCCGAACTGAGTATCATCAACTCTGGATCCATAAACGCTGTTCATCTCTGTTAAAGAAAACCCGAGGGGCAACCGTCCCAAAATAGTGAAATACACAACTTCTATAGGTCCTGGTAACCCCTCAATCTGTGAAACAAAAACAAGTGCTTTATAAATCCTATCAACAATAAAAGGACCGGATAACCCCTCAAGTCAACTTCTTGCAATAATCAGGAAAAGTGGTTGCAGTGGCACGGAGAAAGAAGAAAAGACAAAGGCGATGGTGGACGGGTCAATCATTTTAAAAGTTTTATTTCTATGTGAAGAGTTGTGTGTGAGAAAGTTGTGTGTGTGTGAAAGAGTTGTGTGTGAAAAAATGTGAGTGAAAGAGTTGTGCGTGAAAGATTGTCTGTGACAAAGCTGTGTGTGAAAGATTGTGTGTGTGTGTGCGTGACAAAGTTGTGTGAAAAATGGTGTGTGTGACAAAGTTGTGTGTGAAAGATTGTCTGTGACAAAGTTGTAAAAAGTTGTGTGTGAAAGAGTTGTGTGTGACAAAGTTGTGTGTGAGTGACAAAGTTGTGAGTGACAAAGTTGTGTGTGACAAAGATCTGTGTGAGAGAGAAGTTGCATGTAAGAGAGATGTGTGTGAAAGATTGTGTGTGTGACAAAGTTGTGGGTGACAAAGTTGTGTGTGAGAGAGATGTGTGAAAAAGTTGTGTACGAAAGAGTTGTGTGTGACAAAGATTGTGTGTGACAAAATTGTGTGTGTGTGACAAACTTGTGGGTGACAAAAATGTGGGTGACAAAGTTGTGTGTGTGTGTGACAAAGCTGTGGGTGACAAAGTTTGTGTGAGAGAGATGTGTGTGATAAAGTTGTGTGCGAAAGAGTTGTGTTTGACAAAGTTGTGCGCGATAAAGCTGCATTTGAGAGAGAGATGTGAAAGATTGTGCGTGACAAAGTTGTGTGTGTGTGTGACAAGGTTGTATTTGAGAGAAATGGACTCGTTTGCAGCGTGGATGTCACCAAGTGCCACGCCTGTCACGCAAAACGAAGGTCCATGCCGCCAAGTGCCACACATGCCACGCAAAACGCTCACGCGCGCAGCAGCTCCTCCAGAAGATTCTGTGTACTGCGCCTGCCACACGAAAGCCAGCCACGCGCGCAGCATCTCCTCCAGAAGGCTCTGTGCACTGCGCCTGCCACACAAAAGCCAGCCGCGGCCCAGCGGCGGCCACGCGCGCAGCAGCTCCTCCAGAAGGCTCTGTTTACGGCGCGTGAGAGCCATGTGTGGTGTGAGTTGGTTTGTGAGCTGGGTGCTGTGTGATGAGTTGGTGTGAGAGCCATGTGTGGTGTGAGATGTGAGAGGCTAAGACGAAGCGGTGCGGCGGCGGGCGGGCGGAAGCAGCGGCAGGTGCAAAGCGAAAAACAAGAACCCCACACAGTGACGTGGGGAAAAACAGTAAATTCATATAAATGTGCCAAATTGATCCGTTGCTATCTTTTGTGGGATGTATGGCTACTATCTATTCAACTTAGTAATGTGGCAAGCCCAAGGCCTATCATCCCAAAGAACTGACCTAGGAATATATGAGTGGTATTTGGTATAGCCTCTGGTTTGCTAACGTAGCTATGGCAAAAAACAATATATACATGGTTTATGATGATTCACCTGGCTATGAAATGGCGATGTTTCGTACGTTGAAATTATCTACGATAAAACCACGCAATGTCGTGGGTTCCACTATGTCTGATGTTTTGCGTTTGGTATATCTGTTCTTTTCAATGATGCGTTTGTCCTTGTGTGTTTACCCAAACTTATGTATGCTTGTTTTGGGTTGCTTTGTCTATGTTGTTTTTTTCAGATTTTTCAAATCTCCAAATCAAAAATGGGTATATTCCATCAACATCTCATTAACATCTCATTAACATCTCATTAGCATCCCATTAATATCCCATAAAATTAAGATCCCATTAATATCCCACAAAAACATCCCATTAATCCCAATGATAAGCCATGATTGATCAGATATATCTTGCCATGACCCAAGGGCCGAATTCTCCATCCTCCAGCTGAGCGGACATGACCACGAAGCCCTTGATGGCACGGCCCAGGGTGACGAGGGTGGACTGCACCTCGGTGGTCCCGCGGCGCGTAGCCGAGCTGCGAAGTTCAGAGATAGCTGGCTTGAAGCTATGGAAAATGAATGAAACATGGGGAGTGGTATGACATTTATAGATAGTTTTGTTGTGAAAAATGTGTAATAATATATATATATATAATTAAATATATATATATATATATAATTAAATATATATATATATATAATTAAATATATATATATAATTAAATTTATATATATGTATATATATGGGATATCACCGGAAGAAAACTGCAATTTTTAACAAAGATGTAACGATGTCATCCTTCAAAATGATGAAAAGCAATTTTTGTATCACCAGAAACAGAACATGAGCAACCAAAAGTATTGTTTAAAGTGGGACTTCAGCAACACATTGGAATTTAAAAAAATGAAGAAATGAACCAACATGAACCGGATCGGAACCAAGAATAGAAAACTGTATCGAGGGGTGAGGGCTCTCACCATACCTAGTGTGGAGATGTGTCTGGAATATTCGGCAAAACAATGAAAACCCACTTTTTGTAGGGAAGCCATTGCTTTTCCACATCTATGTTGCTGTAGTTTCCCCCTTGTACATGATCTGTTTTGATCTAATTGTTTATTAAGTTTTTTCTCACATGAATCATCATTCAAGGCATATCATGCAGCCTTTCCCCTGTCACTTTCCGGCCATGGCTGTGCTCTGCACACATTGGATGAGGACATTAAAGCGGTCCATTTCCTGCAGGAATAAGCAAAGTATAGCAGGTTGGTATGCACACCTTCAGATGAGATCATATATAATATATCAACCGTTGATATATATATATATATTAGTTGGATGATGGTATTCATATAGTGGTTGGCATATATATATATAAACCATACAACAACCATTGAGTACACATGACCTTCAGATACCTTCAGGCCATGAAGCCCGAAAGATCGTGTGGCACAGATTGGGTGTCAGAGGTGGTCTGGTTTTTCGGGAGTTTCACTTGGCGTACCAAGAGTCTGCAATTGTCTTCAATCATCTTTGAACATATATTTTCACATGGTCCAAACTGTTCTCTTCAATATATCTATATTTACATATATAGTCATCCTGGAGTAGATAGAATATTGGACATGTTCAATCCTGATTTTCCAACAAACAAGTTGGAATATTTGCAACACCCTCAGTGTTTACACGTTTTTCGTCCCTGTTACAGTCATTTTTAGCCAACTTTGGACACGGGTCTGGAGAAATATTGAAAAACTAGAAAGAGTATCAAAAGAAAAGATAGAATATTGTTTCAAACCAGGTAGGTAGAATATTTTGAGAGAATTGTGAACACCACGCGCAGACCCCACAGCAGCTTGAGACTCTTTAAATACATACATAATATGTATTTAAAGTAATTAATCGCTATACATGAGTATGTACGGGTTATTGTGTAGTATTTTGAAGTGAATGGGCCACTTGAACAAACATATTCTATCTACCCCTCCAAACCATATTCCAACTACCAGTTTTCGACCAACTACATTCTTTTTTAAGTGGCCAACATCCGACAAAATTCCAACGTAAATTCCGCACCCTCCAAAAAATATTCTATCTACTTTAGGATCACTCTATATATATATGTGTATATATATGTATATATGTATATGTATATATATATATGGTCACCCCCCCCCTCCAGGACCTACATTTTCCATTTTCTACTGGTTTTTACAGTCTAACATGCGTCTTTTTTGCGTCCAATATTTTCATTAAATTTAAGGTCTTGGATCAAAGGGGATGGCCATGTACATTTTTATTGTCAATCTTTAATATCATATGCTTAGCATTATAGGATACACACTATATAATAAAAGTATATGAAACTTGTGTTTATGATATGTGTGAAGATGAAGCATGGAATGAACGTTACATTGTTCTTCAGTTCTTGTAGTTGGATGATGAAGCAGATAGCATTGGATGTGTTGTGTCAGAACAATGCCTTGGTATGACTGAATACAGCAGACACTTGTGTAAGTTTTAGGTAGTGACTAGACAAGAAAGCAGACCATTTTTTTGCCAAGCAGAATGCGTCTCAGCGCAACTCCTGCAGCATCTTGGCTGTTGCAGACCACATATTCTGGTTCTTATGCCAGTAGGTCCATTGAGCTGCTATTTGCATTTTCCATTTGTTTCTCAAATTCAAGTAGTAAAACTCCAAGCTTGTGTCTTTTGAAACTGAAGTGTTCTTCCCATCTGTCATCTCTAGAATACCTCTGGCATATCTCACAAAAAGTAGAATGGTTTTTTAATCTGTTTTTTTTCTATGCCCTTTTATTGTCAATACACCTGTCACAGCTCATTAATCCATGAGTGAACAATTGATTACCTTTAGTGCATCTACAAGAAGCACATTTTACAAACGTTTCATCTGGTGCTTTTTCAGTAAACATCATATTTACCTTACTATATATAGTTATTTTCCCTTTAGGTAGTCTAAGATACATAAATCTAATAATCTCAGCATTAGAATTATGATTATATTAATGCCTCCAATCACCTATACCATCCCAGTAGCTACTTGTGATATCTTTAAAATTATATTGAATAAACAATATATCATCTACTTTCATTTTATGCGTTGCTTTTCTCAAAAAATGATTTACAACAGATAATATTGTATAGTAGTTATATATCATTGCTGTTTTATCTCCTCGCTCATAAATCAGCTCACCATTTTTTCCACTATTTCTTGTTCTAGTATATTTTCATATATGTCTTTCATCCATTTGTGGTTTTCCTTGCCATATCCAGCAAACATATCTAGATACATTTTGTGGTCTTCATTTTTGATTATTTTGATTGCATCCCCATACTTAGGACAAGGTTTTTCAACAATTAATTTCATAAAGAAAGTTTTATCACGTGCCATATTTACCCTACTATTCTATGTTATTGTTTCTTTAGGTAGTTTAAGGTACACATTTTTAGCAATAGTATTACCATTAAATCATGATATTAAGATAAATATTATGAAATAATTAATGAATAGTTGTATGGTAGCTAATGTATCCATAAACAATAGTTCTAAAAACATCTTCATTAAGTATTTTTGGATATTCAAGTTTGTATTGCACACCATTGATGCTAAACATAATCCTCAATATATTAATCGTTGTTCCTCACTGTTTCAGATTAAATTGTTGAGGTTTCCACAATTTATTGAACCAATCTTGATATCTATGGTAGAAATTACAGTTGCCATCACCTCTCCAGTTGCTTCTTCTAATTATCTCTAGATAATCTTTAATATCAAGTTGTTTATTCAAAACTGTTCTAGAAGGTAATGGATTTATCTTAACAAAATACAATAGGTTCAATTCTTCCATATTCATATCTTTAGGTTCATTGGTTATTAAGTCAATTGTTTCAATACATATCTTACAAGCATTGAAGCTATTGATTAAATCAACAATAGCATCAGGAAATATGTTGTTTGCTTTGAAAAACTGGAAAAACTGAAAAAAAACATATTTTTGGGAAACTATGTCTAGATCTAGGTCTGAACTGAAACTGAAAAAAACTGAACAAAAACAAAAATCTCGAGAAAAGAAAAAAACAAAAACCAAAGAAATCAAGAGGTCTTGGGGATGGGAAAATGTAAAACAAAAAAACCTCGAGAAAACCAAAAAAAACATCGAGAAAACAAAAAAAAACTCGAGAAAACCAAAAAAGAAAATCCAGAGGTCTTGGGGGGAGGGGGGTCGGCCAAGAGTCTCAGAATATTGGTTTTATTGTTTTTTTTTTGGGTTTTTTTTTTTCGAAATGTCTTACATTTCTCCATGGGGCCCTCCCCAAGGAGTCTCAGAATATTGATCTTTTTGCAGTATTTGTATTTAACTTTATTGTCAAGTATAAATTTGCACACATGTTTCACATATCTATATGTACAGTTTGCCTTATTTGTGTATAATGTATAAGCATGTTTAGCAGATCACAGATGAACATGTAGGTCCTCGAAGGTGGGGTGAGCATATATAAATATATATAGAGAGAGAGAGAGATAATTATAGATATACATATATATATATATATATATATACATATAGATATATTATAGATATATATTTTAGAGAATTATATACATATATCACACATCAAAACATCATAAATCCTCCAAAATCCTCCAAACTCTGAGGCTTTTTCGCCGATTCGTCCAGCCTGGCCATGGAAAACGCCCAAGGAAACGATGCCACCTTGAGGTGTCTTCTTGTACCTCTCGATTGGTGTGGCCATGTGGTCACAACATGTTGCTGAAGCTCTGCTAAAATTATCTGAGAATGAAATAGGCAGGTATAGTATTACAATATATTACAGTATTATAGTACTATAATATATTACAGTATTACATATTGTAATATGATAATAAAGTTATCATAATTTATTATAATCTATTATAATATTAAGCTTGTTTCTGTCGAGTGATTGCATTTTTAGTTCATTGGAATCATCTCATATAGTCGCTGTAAACGTGCATTTGAAACCACCAACCAGGAATGACGTGTCCTTTAGGTGCCAACAAAATGGCTAAATCCATGCCACATCAAACATCATTCCGATCATTTTTATGTTTGTTGTCTAGCGGCGAAATCGCTGCTAGATCGAACTATCATTCGGATCTAATTTATTTGCTGGTTGGTGGTTTGAACCCCTCTGAAAAATATGAAAGTCAGTTGGGATGATGACATTCCCAAGATATGGAAAGTCACAAATCCATGTTCCAAACCACCAACCAGTTTGTCTATTCAACCGTCAAAATCGTTGCAAAGAATCGCGGCGTTTTTTGGTCAGGCGTCTTTCATGTCTCCAGTCACTAAATAGCATCTTGCAGCCTGCGGAGCCAGCGTCCTGACTGGCCCTCGGAATGCCATGGGAATGTCTCAGAATAGGCCAAAAAATTGTCGCATCCAATAATTTGAGCTCTGGCGAATTACTCATATTTCCAGATTTTCCCAGATTTTCCCGATCAAAATGGCTATTTTATTGATGATTGCTGGATATTGGGGGTATTTATAACCAATATTCTCAGACAAGCCCGTGGAGAAAGTTCCAAACATTCTCTTCGCCTACAATGCGGCACGACTTACAGCCGTTACGGCTGGTTATTATCGCTCTCAGCTTTGCCGGCCTGAAAAGTGATGGAAATCGGCCCAAAGAGGCAACATTAGCATGTTCTTCCCCTTGTAGCGACAAGTCCTCACATTCAGCCTCCGGGACGAACAGATTGCGAATGGGACAATCACTATTTTCATAAACCATCACCATTTTCATAAGCAGTGGGCCATTTTTCCATAGCTTTTCCATAGCGTCACTGTGTCCTTTGACTCTACAGTGTTCAGGCCTTCTCAGGCCTTCCAGCGTGAGTCATTCTTGCTTTGCTTGGCGGCATCAGTTGATCGTGATATTCATGGTGATAATAGTGATAGGTGATGATACTAATGATAAATGGTGCTATTGTGATATCTAATGATGATATTGTTAAAAACAAGATGCAATAATAACAACTGACAATAACAATGTCAATAATTACAACTGACAATACAACAAAAAAGTAACAATCACGATCATCGTCGTAAGCATGAGCATGAGCATAAACATGAGCATCATCACAAAGGATGTTGCGTTGGAGTGCCACGGTGTTTAACCAGCAATCCACGACAGTCCATGCTGCATTGGCCGAAACACTGGACCTTTGCAGCCTGAACAAACCAGGTCAGGCAGCGAGGACGGTACCGAAGCCTTGTCAAACCATGAGTATCATCATCTATCACTGGGATTCATCCCTTAAAATTTTAATGATCCTAATGGTATTGGGATATAACAATATACTAATTGCTTATCACCATTTCATTAGTATCATCTATTGCTATATCATCATGATACTAATGATCCTAATGGTGATATAGCAATTCCTGGGATTCATGAAGATTCATCCCTCAAAAAGACCACACCCCAAGAAAGTCATTAGATCCCAAGCCCGTTGCGCTCTACAGGAAAGGCCCGCCAAAAAAAAACTAGGTGCTGTGTCACTTTGTAACTGGGGTTTTGTTCACTTTGTTTTCTGGGTGTTGACCATACACAAGCTTATAACTTCACTTGGGGGGATCCTTCCTGTACTGAACATGTACCATCATTGACCTTATGAAAATCTTGCAGTTTCTAGCTGAGGGAAGTTTTAAAAAAATACGATGTTTTCATTTTGTCATTTTCACTTACATGTTTTGAATAAAATTAGTGTTTTTGTTCATTGCCAAAATGGGTTTGCATTTGGATTTTCATTTGGATTTTCACTGGGATTTTCATTGGGATTTTCATATGGCTTCATGGCATGTATCTGGTTTATTGGCAATGCTTGCTTTGCTCCTCAGCCAAAATGTATTGAAAGAAAATGCGGTACTTTTGAAAAAAAACCATTTGAATGCAACTGTAAACACAGACAGGAAACAAACACAAGACAGCATAACGCGACACTAGGACACAATGAACAGGAAACACAAATCCAAAAACCAAATGAAAGAATGAACATGTTTGACAGCACGAACATATAAATGAAAACATGAAAACCAGAATCCAAATGAACAAGAAAATGAAAAAAAAAACGTGAGAGGAAAATGAACACCGAAATCCAAATGAAAAAAATAAAAAATGAAAACCAAAATCGACATGAAACAAATGAACAACCACATTTTGGCAATAAACAAAAAACAAAAATATGAAACAAAGTGCAAATGAACATGAAAGAAATGAAAAAAAAAAAACATAATCCAGTTTAAGGCTACCCAAGAAAGATGTAACATTTACCCCCCAAATGATTCGCTCATGGTTTCCAATCTATGGCCATGATTCAAGTTATTGGGGTCTGGTATTGAGGATTCAAGGCCATACCAAAATGATAGGCTTATCACACTGAAACTACAAGCAACTACTTGCAGTAAATAAGGTCGTGTATGTATGTTGCACGCATATAGTATGTTGTATTGTATCATACATGTATACATATACCAGTAGTACCCGCACGAGGCGGGGCGGAAGTTGCCTTAAAGAGATATATATATATAAGACCTTTCTCATCTATAGAACTTGCATGCGCCGTGTGCCAGCCAAGCCCGTGCGTGCATGCACTCTGCGAAAGTTGTGTCGTGTTTCACATGTCACATTTGAAGCTCCACTTCGCACTTCGCACTTCTCACTGCACTCTTCACACTCCACACTACACACTTCACACTTCACACTTCTGTTGGTTGCTTTGTGCGAAGCTGTTGCGCAGATGTTGTCCAAGAACATGACCCGCGCACGACCCCGGCGCAATGCAACGCCAAGCAAACACTTTCTTCACACTTCACACTGCACCCTTCACACTTCACACTTGCACTTCACACTTGCACTTCGCACTCGACACTTCATCTCTCAAATCATGTGAGCTCTTCTCACCTCATCTCCGCTCTTCTCATCTCATCCCGTCTCTTCTCACATGTCAATTAAGTAAGTTCTTCTCAACTGTTTTCATCTCATCCGAGCACTGATCAACCTTTCTCATCTCCTTGGAGTTCGTCTCAACTCATCTTAGCTGTTCTGCCCGCAAGAAAGCTCTTACTGTCAGAGAGAAGTCTTTTGCGCAAAAAAACATTGGGCGCAGAAAGTTGTTGCACACAGACACTTGAGACACAGACGCATTTACATACAACAGCCTTTCCGAAATACTTTGTACTACAAAGCTTGCACAAAGCACTTCCCAGTACTACTTTGTACTACACAGCTTGCACAAAGCACTTCCCAGTACTACTTTGTACTACAAAGCTTGCACAAAGCACTTCCCAGTACTACTATGTACTACAAAAGCTTGCACAAACTACTTCCCAGTACTACTTTGTACTACAAAGCAAGCAAAAAGCACTTCTTAGTACTACTTTGTACTACAAAGCTTGCACAAAGCACTTCCCAGTACTACTTTGTACTACAAAGCTTGCACAAAGCACTTCCCAGTACTACTATGTACTACAAAGCTTACACAAACTACTTCCCAGTACTACTTTGTACTACACAGCTTGCACAAAGCACGTCCAAGTACTACTTTGTACTACAAAGCTTGCACAAAACACTTCCCAGTACTACTTTGTACTACAAAGCTTGCACAAACCACTTCCCAGTACTACTTCGTACTACAAAGCTTGCACAAAGCACTTCCCAGTACTACTGTGTACTACAAAGCTTGCACAAACACTTCCCAGTACTACTGTGTACTACAAAGCTTGCACAAAACACTTCCCAGTACTACTTTGTACTGCAAAGCTTGCACAAACCACTTCTTAGTACTACTTTGTACTACAAAGCTTGCACAAAGCACTTCCCAGTACTACTGTGACCAAGCAACCTTAACGCAGCCATTACATTGCGATCTGCAGAGACTGAGTTGCAAAACACAATAGAGCTACGCGCAACGGCGTCGGAAATTGCAGCTCCAAAACCGGATCTCGACGCCAAAGCGACAAAAAGACGAGTTTGAAGCACTTTTTAAGTTTATACCACTACTTTTGAGGCAAGCTTGCACAAAGAAAGCTTTTACACACAGCAAGTTCTTTCGCAGAGAAGCTTTTACACACAGCAAACTTTTGAAACAGAGAAGCTTTTACACACAGAAGCTTTTACACACAACAAGCCTTTACACAGAGAAGTTACACATGGCAAGCGTTTACACACAGAAACTTTTGCACAAAGACGCTTTTACACACAGGAGCTTTTACACACAGCAAGCTTTTACACACAAATTTTTTTACACACAGCAAGCTTTAACACACAGCAAGCGTTTGCGCACAGAACACTTACACACAGTGCTTTTACACATGGCAAGCGTTTACACGCAGAACACTTACACACAGTGCTTTTACACATGGCAAGCGTTTACACACACAGCAAGCTTTTTAAACAGAGAAGCTTTTACACACAGAGAAGCTTTTACACACAACAAGCTTTTACACAGAGAAGCTTTTACACACAGCAAGCGTTCACACACAGAAAGCGTTTACACACAGGGCACTTACACACAATGCTTTTACACATGGCAACCGCTTACACACACAGAAACTTTTACACAGAGATGCTTTTACAAACAGAGAAGCTTTTACACACAGCAAGCTTTTACACACAAAATCTTTTACACACAGTTTATCACAACAGGAATTGCAGCTCCAAGACCGGACCTCGACGCCAAAGCAACAAAAGCACGATTTTGAAGCACTTTTTAAAAGGAGTTTTAAAACAAAAAATTCTAGCGCCAAAATTGAAAAATCTGCTGACAAATCACTGTTGCAGCCTTGATGCAGCCACTCCAATACTATTTACGAGACCCAGCTGCAAAAGACAATAGTATTACCCATGCAGCCGCGGCACAGAGCAACATTCATGCAGCCATTCCAATGCGATCTGCCACCACAGCTTCAAGAAACGCAAAGAACTACCCACACAGGAACAACCACTCGTTGCAAAACACATAGAAGGAACACTTCGCGACAGAAGCGACCCCAGCCGCACCCGCCGCACACACGAGGTACCTTTCATCGCCGGCTGCAGCCACTTTACACGGAAAAAAACAAGGTTTCGTGCTCCGGCTTCCTCAAAACATAGCCCGTGCAACATTCATGCAGCCATTCCAATGCGATCTGCCACCACAGCTTCAAGAAACGCAAAGAACTACGCACACAGGAACAACCACGCGTTGCAAAACACATAGAAGGAACACTTCGCGACAGAAACGACCCCAGCCGCACCCGCCGCACACACGAGGTACCTTTCATCGCCGGCTGCAGCCACTTTACACGGAAAAACACAAGGTTTCGTGCTCCGGCTTCCTCCCCAAAACATAGCCCATGCAACATTCATGCAGCCATTACAATGCGTTTTGCAGCATCCCGTGGCAAACCTGCACCTATCTACGCACGTGGCAACATCAGATGACGACAATCATGCAGCCATTCCAATGCTATTTGCAACCAGAGATTCAAGAACCGCATAGAACTACGCACACAGACATAACCACTCGTTGCAAAACACATAGAAGGAACACTTCGCGACAGAAACGACCCCAGCTGCACCCGCCGCACACACGAGGTACCTTTCATTGCCGGCTGCAGCCACTTTACACAGAAAAACACAAGGTTTCGTGCTCCGGCTTCCTCTCCAAAACAAAGCCCATGGGCATCATTCATGCATCCTCACCACTTCCCTTCGTCATCACTTCCCCATCGTCACCACTTCCCTTCGTCACCACTTCCCATCGTCACCACTTCCCTTCCTCACCACCTTGTGTCATAGCCACCACCTCCCACGTCCCCACGTCCCTTCCTCACCACTCCCCTTCATCACCACTTCCCTTCGTCACCACTTCCTTCCTCACCACTTCCCATCGTCACCACTTCCCTTCCTCACCACTCCCCTTCATCACCACTTCCCTTCCTCACCACTTCCCTTCCTCACCACTTCCCTTCCTCGCCACTTCCCATCGTCACCACTTCCCTTCCTCACCACTTCCCTTCCTCACCACTTCCCATCGTCACTACTTCTCATCATAGTCAATTCCATTGCTTCTTATTCTTTTGTGATGTATTGTTAGCTCACCACTTCCCTTCCTCACCACTTCCCATCGTCACTACTACTTCTCATCATAGTCAATTCCATTGCTTCTTATTCTTTTGTGATGTATCGTTAGATCACGCACCACCCTTCATCATAGTCAATTCCATCACTTCTTATTCTTTTGTTATGTATTGTTAGATCACGCACCACCCTTCATCATAGTCAATTCCATCAAGTATAGATCACGCACCACCCTTCATCATAGTCAATTCCATCAAGTACAGATCGCGCACCACCCTTCATCATAGTAAAAGTCATTCGTAACTCGGAAGTATTGCTTCCCAACTTCCTTTGATAACCTTAGTTAACACGATGTGTATACTCCGCGTTTGTGTATATCTGCATGCAACATATCACATGTTGTGCCTCTTTTGCTGCATATAATATATGCATTATATATATACATGTATATACACACATACACACACACACTGTATACAGAACATCGAATGAATAAACCGCATCAACCATCATCAAACATATCTGCCAGGATCGGTCCTTGCGCGTCCTCCAGCACTTCAAAATCTTCAAATCAAAATGCAAATGTGTTTTTATCGTGTCTTGAAGGTAGGTAGTGCAGGAGGAACATGGGTTGGCTTTGTCTGAACAAAATCAGGAAATGCCCGAAAAAAACAATGACAAACAAATAGCTAATTAATGTTAATTGTCTTATCAGTCATGGTTTATCATTATCTTCCCTATTAAAAAAAAACACATCGGAAAATCGGGGAGGCGGTTTTTTCAACACCCACGCCTTCAGGAAAAAAAACCCTTTTGGGGATGACACCCCCGAAATAAACATGTCTGGCTGGTGGTTTCCCGAAATAAACATACAATCATTATATATACCATCTGGTTATTTAACATAGCCATGGAATAATAGGTAAACCATCTATAAATGGGCCATTTTCCATGGCTATGTTAAATAGCCAGAGGGTATATATTATTATATTATATATATGGAGGTTTCGAATCCATGGGGGTACCCCCAAATCATCATAAATCATCCAAGTCATTAGACCATGGCTTAGTCTTGAAACCTATGTTGACTTTGGCATCCCCCCTTTTATGAACCCTCCACATATAATTGCCATCATCCCAGGTAAAGACCTGGCATACCAAATAATTGAAACCAGCGACCATATATCACAAATGCAATGAACTAAGCTGGTTTCATAGCAAGATCCACATCTTTTTTTCAAACATTGAATTGTGACAATTTGAAACATACCAGGACCGTCATTCCCCTCATTACAGTAAACACCAATTTTTATGAGTACTGGCAGGGTTTTGAAACAGACTGATCTCTCACAACATAGATCTCTGACCTCCCTGAGCTCCAAACTTCAAGACAGAAGTGGGAAACCCCACAGAATTTTTGGTGTAGATCAGCAGCCATACTATGCCAGTGATGTCTGTACTGCTTGAGGCGCCACATGCCATACCCAACCTTCTGTCGGCTATTGTTTGGTGAAACATGTTCGCATGTTTGGCACTCCGCACCAACCAAAACCCTTCAAAATACACGGCCACTTTGAGACTCGTAAACAATAACTACATGTTTCAGCTGACACGTTTATCCAAAGGTGTAATATGATGTGGCTTACCCCAAGCTGGATCTCAGCAGTTCAATCTGCTCACGCAAAGCCTGAAATTCGCCCCCTCTCACCATTAGGTGCGTGAGAAGTGCTGCCAAAGGTAACCTCGGTCCACATCTAGATCCATACAATGACCAACTAATCCATGATCAAAAGATGGTGCATATATCGGTTACGGTCATCTCACCATCATTCGGCATAGTGTTGCATCCTGATTAGTAACTAGGTTCGCTATTGTGCAATTTTTTCCAAACTATTCACGGCCCCAGCAATGTTTGGACGGTTCACTATTGTGGCAGGAGTTTTTGGCAAACCATTTTTTAAACACAAAATGATTGGGTGAAAAAAACACATTTTTCTGGAAAAAATCGTGCTTGTCTGCCTTACCCCAAAGAATCAGATCGCTGATTAAACCCTGATTAAAGAATATTTTTCCACAAATTTCAAAGGCACTGGGCCATGAAAAGCTCCAGTTCACTTGAGTAGGTTTGTTCTCGGGGTTCACAAGCGCAGCAATTTTTTTAGAGCTGATCCTGGGGACAAAAGAAGAAAGGTAGGCCTTTTCCAAAAGCAACTGCCAAGTTCAAAGCCCAAACCTTTCCCATAAGAAGCAGACCGCTTATTAAACCCTTATTAAAGAACCTTTTTTCCACAAATTTGCAAGGCACTGGGCCATGAGAGGGTCCAATTCACTTAAGTAGGTTTGTTCTCAGGGTTTAGAATTGCAGCCAACTTTTCCAGAGCTGATCCTGGAGCCAAGGGAAGAAAGGTATGTTTTTTCCAAAAGCACTTGCCCAGTTCAAAGTCCAAACCTTTCCCAAAAGAATCAGGCCGCTTATTGAACCCTTATTAAAGAACAGTTCTTCCTTTCTATTCCTCTTTCTCTTCCTCTCGCTCTCTCTCTCTCTCTTGTTCTCTTTCTCTTTCTATGTTACTGTTTTTTCCCTTTATCTTTCTCTTTCTCTTATTGCACTTTGAAAAAAAAATATAATTAGATGTCAATTGTCGCCAATTGATATCTTTACTTACTGTAAATGCGGGATCGTATTTTTTCTGGGGAGGAGTTTTTTGATACCCAAAATTAAAGAGGGTATAGCTATAGCTTGACGGGGGGTACACACAAATCAGGACGAAACATGAATTGACCACTGTTTCAATGTGTTAAACCCACCATGATTTCGTTGAAAACCATGGCCGACGTCTAGCATCCAGCAACTTTTTGAAAGTCCGATCAAGCAGGCGAATGTCACTGCCCTTGACAGATTCTGCTGTGCCGGCCCGTCTTCCAACCATCTCCTGGAAAAGCTGAGTGGAAAAAACCAGCAAAGCGCGTTTCTTCCCCTTCTTGGGCCAGTTTTTTGACTACGCAGACCGTCTAGACCCTCAAAGTAACCATTAAGGAATAAGAAGGTATACACAAAATTGATGGTCGATCATTATATGCTACCTATCAACATGGCAATTTGCGGATATATCGTATATCCACTATGTTCTAACAAACACAGCCGAAATTTCA